CCGGATCGGCTTTCACCGTGGACGAAGCGGAGTCCAGCCCGGGGTCGTCACATGTGGTTGCTGCAAGCTGTTCTCAAGCCCGCTGGCCTCCACTCACTCTAGCCCGCCTCCGAGCCCGCCTCCATTCACCCTAGCCCACCTCCGCTTGTCCCATCGCTCCGGCCGGACAAGGCATCACAATATGTAAGGGGCGTAACATTTCCGTCACACGCTTGAGGTATTCGGCCAATCACAATGCTCTGGATAGCTGGCCAATCACAGCACACCTCGCTTTTCAGACCGATGAGCTTTGTAAAAATGTACGCGTTTCAGAAAGCCGAGACATAGAGGAGAAACAATAATGTACAGTATGTGGAAAATAATGTGTTTTTTTAACCTTAAACCGCATAAACACATTTCATTACACCAAATACACCAAATAATGTTCTTTTTAGCAACATCATATGACCCCTTTAAAATGAAACAAAAAAGGTTTAAAGTCACGTCATTTAAATGTCATGTGTTTTAATATATTTTATATTAATATTTTCTTAGAATTCAACAAAAAAAGTATACATTTTGTCAAGCTCTATATTTGTATAAATTGCTAATTGTGAATAAAAAGAAATTAAAAACTAATTACAATGTATAATATAATATATTACAGTACATTTAATATGTATTTTAAACAAAACTTCATTAATATATATATTATAATTGACAATACATATTATAACTAATATATATATTATTCAACTTATTTAAATGTGAAAGATTTTAATATATCTTTTATTCATTTATAATTTGACAAGTAAATAGCTATTTGTGAGTAAAAACTGATAAAAAAATTTAAATGCAAAATTTAACTATTTAAAAATTTAATTAAATTTGTTATATAAAATTGTATATTAAAATATACTATGACTTTATATATATATATATATATATATATATATATATGAATACAATAGAAATTGTTATTTGTGAGTAAAATAAAATATTTTCATTTAATATAAACCTTTATATAACATAACTGACAATATATAACTTATAATATAATATAACTATATAAAAAATAAACATGCCTAAAAGAATTTAAATAGAAAAGGCATGTAAATTCACTGGTAATAAAAAGTGTAAACCATGACCAACATTCAGTTATTAAGATTATGGAATTTCATTATTTTAGTCATCTATAATAAGTATACAGCCACTTCTAGGTTCTGTAACTAAAAAGTTTAATATTGAGCATTTTTGTATTTGAAGATGCAAAAAAACAACAGAGAAGAAAAGAAACCAAAGAAAGAGTGTGTAACTCTGAACTCTAGTGAGCTAGACGGTATTTTCCTTTTCCAAACAGTCTTATGAGATCCCTCGCTCTGACTAAAGCAGCAGCACTGCATGTGTGTTACACAGATCAGACGATCCCAGAATGCAATGCGCAGACAGAGCGTACCCTGAGTGTGCTGCGACAGGACGAACTTCCTGATGAGTTTGTCTGTGGCCTGCGTGTAGAGAGAGAGCGCATAGCGCAGAGACTGCAGATCTGGACTCTTCTCCAGAAACGTCTTCTTCAGACCCACACCGCCTGCATGGAAGTATTGCTGTCAGACACACGCGCACACACACACACACACACACACGCGCACACACGCGCGCACACACACACACACGCACGCACGCACGCACGCACGCACGCACGCACACACGCACACACGCACACAGAGACACACAGACACACAGACACACGCACACACATAAAATATAACTGAAAAAATAGAAACTAATTTATATTAATTTTGTCAAGCTCTATAATATTTTTAGAAATTGTTATTTGCGAGTAAAAAAATATTTTAAAAAACTGTAATTACAAACGGACAACAATCATGATCAGTAATCGCAATTATAATTATGAGCAAAATAATTGTGATTATCAGTTTGACCACTATGCACCACTAAAATTTGCACATCTTAAATGCTAGACTAAATATTTTTAAATCTGGGAATTATTTTTGATTAAATACGATAGAAATTAAAAAGGACATCTGACACAGGAATAAGACCAAGACTAAAAATGTTTTAAAAATCTGAATCTGAACATGCATGTGCACTTGTACCTTAATAGTGTCCAGTGCGAGCTCGATGACTGCACACTGTTTAGGGCTTAGCGCTTTGGCCTCCTCGCGCACCATGTGCTCCTGTAAGACACAAACAGACCATCAGCTTTTACACAGCAGTCATGAAAGTAAAGTGGAGTGAAGCGATCATGAACGCACCTTCAGTTTGGAGAGCTGACCCAACTCTTTAGCAGCATTAAAGATGAGCTGTGTGCCCTACAGACACAAACACAAACACATCTGTCTTAGTTACTGCTGCACACACAGACAAGGTCTCATGGGAACCAACTGGAGATTTCCATGAATGCTGCGATTTTTTGTTAGATATGCTAAAACCGATTGGATGTTATTCTTGCATGTGCTGGAATAATGTATGGCATGCAAAGCATTTATATCAGCATTTTTTTTTTTTATTAAAAAATTGTGATAAATTACACAAAGACCAACACTTTTCTCACAGTTAGTGAAAAGAGAATAGTACGGTGGCCGAGAAGTGCAAAGCATACGAGATTTGAAAAGGGAGGGAAAAAAAGTTCTGCAAAAGATGGGATCGAACCCGGGTCGATCGTGTCAAAAAGCCAAGGACACGCACTTATCCATCTGCACCACTGGAGCTGATGATTTACAGCTACTTTTAACTAAATGTAAATAGACACCCTGTATTTTTTATTCCATACTAAGGGCAATTCATACAATACATTTAAACTGAGCTACTTTAATACCATCTCTGAACTTTCTACCAGGACTCTGCTGTTCTTCGGCTGGTTCTTCTCTGTATACGGTGATTGACAGATGTCTCGTCCAGTCAGCGGTGAGTAATCCCAAACCAATGGCGCTGTCTCAAACTATACCTACCTCTTCCGGTTTGTTTGAATTGTCGTTGTGTTTTCTGACTTGTTCATTTGTTTTCGGGTTTGTCGTTGTGTTTTCTGACTTGTTATAATGTTTTCTGAATTGTTGTTGTGTTTTCTGACTTGTTATTTTCTTTTTTAGACTTGCATTTGCATTTATTATTTGTTATTTTGTTTTCAGAATTGTGATTTGTTTTGCACTTCTCGGCCACCGTAGAAAAGCCTAATTTGATTACAGCTCAAGTTACAGCTGATCACATTAGTGTAAGTCTAAGAGTTTGTGGGTTTATGAAAAGCTAAGAATAATTAAATCATATTAAATGTTAAAATGAAAACAAATCGAAATAAAACACTAACAAAAAAAGATGAAATATTGTATTTGTTTATCTGCATATCATGTGACCACTGTTGATGAAAAGCTAATAGTTAATTAAATGATAAAAATGTTAAATTAAAATATTACAGTTTTATAATACAAACAAATCAAAACTTACTAAAAAAGATGAAACATTTTATTTGTTTACCTGCGTGTCGTGTGCCCATTGTGAGATCATGAAAAGCTAATAATTAAATTATAAAAATGCTAAATTAAAATAAATAATTAAATTACAAATAACACTTAAATAAATAAATAAATTCAATATTAAAATGTAATTATATTTATTATAATTTAATTTAATATATTATTTATTATGGTAAAACAAAATATTTATTATATAATAATTTATATAAAATTAATTTCAAACTATTCAGTCACAAGACTTCCATAGACTTACAGTAGGCTGGTCTGACAATATGACAATATAAACAGTTGTTGATAACAAAAATTAAGATGATTTAAAATTATTAATATGAGCACTGAAGCATGTATTTAAAATATATATATATTTTTTTTAGAAATTATTTTCTGATATATGTTGCATTGATACTACAGTGGCATCCAGACCAGTGATACTTTAGTATAATTTACATACTATTATCATTTTATTAATATTTCAAATTCATTTCTATTTTTTATATTTTCTGTTTAAATTTTTTATTTGAGTTTATTTGAGTTAAAGTTTTAATAATTCTGTTGTGTGTTTTTGTCATTTGTTTTAGTTTTTAATAAGTCTATGTTCTTTTATACTTCAGTTTTAATTATTTTAGTACATCAAGTTAAAAAATAAATTTAATTTTTTAAACGTTTATTTTATTTTTTATTTCAAGTAGCGGAAATGTTTTTAATGTTTCAGTTTAATTTTTAGTTATGCATAATAACCCTGATGCAGACTCACTCTGCTGGATTACAGTTACATATGAGTGAAGGACAGAGAAAGAGGAAGCAGTGAGAGGGAGACAGGAAGTCCAGGCTGAGTGCCTGAGACAGGAAGACATCCGACAGGAAATAAAGACGACAGTCTGCCGTGCATCATGCTAGAGTTTCACACAGACAGAGACAGACTGGAAACACACACTGCTATACTTACAATCATCTGGTGAAAGATGAATGATGATGAAAAGAAATAAGAGAAGAATGAAAGTCACAATACACACACACACACACACTCCCTCTCTCTCTCTCTCTCTCTCTCACACACACACTCTCTCTCTCTCACACACATACTCACACACACACACACACACTCTCTCTCTCTCTCTCTCTCTCTCACACACACACTCTCTCTCTCTCACACACATACTCACACACACACACACACACTCTCTCTCTCTCTCTCTCTCTCTCACACACACACTCTCTCTCTCTCACACACATACTCACACACACACACACACACTCTCTCTCTCTCTCTCTCTCTCTCACACACACACTCTCTCTCTCTCACACACATACTCACACACACACACACACACTCTCTCTCTCTCTCTCTCTCTCTCACACACACACTCTCTCTCTCTCACACACATACTCACACACACACACACACACTCTCTCTCTCTCTCTCTCTCTCTCACACACACACTCTCTCTCTCTCACACACATACTCACACACACACACACACACTCTCTCTCTCTCTCTCTCTCTCTCACACACACACTCTCTCTCTCTCACACACATACTCACACACACACACACACACTCTCTCTCTCTCTCTCTCTCTCTCACACACACACTCTCTCTCTCTCACACACATACTCACACACACACACACACACTCTCTCTCTCTCTCTCTCTCTCTCACACACACACTCTCTCTCTCTCACACACATACTCACACACACACACACACACTCTCTCTCTCTCTCTCTCTCTCTCACACACACACTCTCTCTCTCTCACACACATACTCACACACACACACACACACTCTCTCTCTCTCTCTCTCTCTCTCACACACACACTCTCTCTCTCTCACACACATACTCACACACACACACACACACTCTCTCTCTCTCTCTCTCTCTCTCACACACACACTCTCTCTCTCTCACACACATACTCACACACACACACACACACTCTCTCTCTCTCTCTCTCTCTCTCACACACACACTCTCTCTCTCTCACACACATACTCACACACACACACACACACTCTCTCTCTCTCTCTCTCTCTCTCACACACACACTCTCTCTCTCTCACACACATACTCACACACACACACACACACTCTCTCTCTCTCTCTCTCTCTCTCACACACACACTCTCTCTCTCTCACACACATACTCACACACACACACACACACTCTCTCTCTCTCTCTCTCTCTCTCACACACACACTCTCTCTCTCTCACACACATACTCACACACACACACACACACTCTCTCTCTCTCTCTCTCTCTCTCACACACACACTCTCTCTCTCTCACACACATACTCACACACACACACACACACTCTCTCTCTCTCTCTCTCTCTCTCACACACACACTCTCTCTCTCTCACACACACACTCACACACACTCTCTCTCGCTCTCTCTCACACACACACACACATTAATCTAATTAGATGCTGTGATGGTAACTATTCCAAAACCTAGTGCCCTACATAGACAGCTGACTTCTAAGGAAGCAAATGGAACTTTAACACATGACTGATTTGAAACGCTCTCACAGGCAGCAACTCCACATAAATATTGCAACTTATACTTCAATATTCTAATAAGCATAAGAAATACACCACATACAAATATTGGGTAAAACAGTCATTTTCTAATTATAATATTTTACTATAATATCCAATTATGATATTTTATTTTCCAATTAGTATTTAATAAATAATAAATTTAATAAACTTAAATTTATATTATAATAAATACATTGATACATTTATATATTATTAAATACATTTAAATTAAAAATATATGCATTCATCCACTATTTAAATCCGTGTATCATTCGATCATTCGTTTTTTGATTTAATATTGAAAGTAGAAAAATTAGAAAACGGCTCCTTTTTCGATTTTTAGTTTTTTCCCAAAAACTGAAAAACGAAAAAAAATTTGTTTTTCGTTCATGGGAGGAAAAATGAATAAACAGCTTGAATATTGGATTTCTACACGTGGGCGGGAATTAAATGCCCCTTTCTGCTGATTGGTCAGCCGAAGATCAAACCGTGCCGTCATCAGTTCTTCCACAGTATCACGCAGCAGAATAATAGTCCTCTGCTGGTGCAGTTGTATGGATTCTTAACACATTTATTGCAACTACATTTAATCTTTTTTTGTCAAACAAACTGGCTTATGAATAGCTCAACACAACTCATACTGGGGCATAGTCTAGACAGGGCTTTCTTCTGTGTAGATATAAATTATATTCTTTGCATCAGCTGGGCAAGTTTCCTTTTTTGGGATTTTTGGGGTTTCGGTCTCTGTGACACATGCAATGCTGCCTTAGATTTTAGTCAAACAAGGTTCCTTTGTGTGTGCAGTGTACTTATGATGCCTTAAAATGCAGCCTAGGTAGGCAGGATGGATGGGGGGGGGGGGGGGGGGGGGG